TGCGCGCACGCGGCGGGGCGGAGGGTTGGATGGGCGCGTGGGGGGGGGCTCCCGGCGGGAGCGGGAATGTTGGGAATGGCTGCCCGAGGGCCAGGGGTTGTGTTGGCCTCCTGGGTGCTCCCGGACACGGGAATGCGGGTTCCCAACGGCAGGTCCGGGGTGCTGAGCGTGGCACAGCTTGCTAGGGACTGCGCTGTGGGAGCGGGGCAGAGCGGGACGAGCGCTTGGAAGGCGCTGGTTTGAACAGCACGCGGTGGATACACAGGGATGCCTGGAAAGGCACGTGCTTCCCTGCGTTAGTGTCCAAGGAAGGGCTGGGCAGGAACAAGTTTAGCCTGGGAATAAGCAGGAAATTTCACATTCACAGAGCAGGTGAGGCCCTAAAGGGCCTTTAGGGGATAAATAACATAATTACTTTAATAACATAAATAACATAATTACTTTAATCTGGAGCTTGGCCGGTTCATGGAGCGGGTGATGCGGTGTCGAGGGTGCCGCAGCGGGGCCTGTCCTGTCACCCAGGAAGTGCCTTGATCCCTTATCACACCCCGCCCCGGCTCTCCCCTTTTGTCCTCTGCCTCACGCGCTTTCTTTTTCTTTTCCACCCCAGGAGCCCTTAGGAATGCGGTTGCCTTCCCGGCTGGGCAAAGAATGGAGAATGTGCTAGCGGGTCTGTGTGGAACCAGCGCGGAAGATCCAGTGCCCGTGTGGGTGCGCGGCAGCGTCGGGCACTGCTTCAACCAGCTGGCGTTAAACGTGGCTCCCCACGTCCTCCTGGCAGCGGTCAGCGCCTGCTTCCTCGGCACGCCAAGGTACAGCCCCGCGGCTCCCTCCTGGAGTGGAGGCCAGGCTGGAGGTGGGGATGGGATGCTCAGAATTGGATCCCCTTCAGTGTTCCAGTTACGTTGCCAGAAAAGGTTTCGATCTTATAATGCTATTGCATTTGTCAGTATCTGTTCTTATGCTGTGTGCAGCTCTGGTCACTCTATTGCAGAAAAGAGCCTGGAAAGAACAGGGAGGGTTAGTGGGAATAAAAACACAGAAAGTGTCACAGAGACCATAATCTCTGTAGAGAAAATGTCACAAAGACAAGAAAGCAAGGATCAGGAATGTGGCACAGAAACTTAATCCTACAGACCTAAAAATGATAAGTATATACTTTTGTTAGTCCTTAAACATTGAAGTCTGTTTTGACCAAAAGATATCACAGGTTCTAGAGAAATTTCTTCACAAAGAGTCTATTTTTGTGTGTGTGTTTTCTTGCATCCTTGGTGCTGATTAGATAGTGGGATGTATTGACTTGATCTGTTTTAACAACACCTAAAAATGTTTCAAAGCGGGGGAACTGRATCCTAGAAAGTTGAGAGCAGATGGATAATTGGGGGGTGTGGGGAGGGGAAGAGAGTGTCAGTGGGAGGCRATGGGTTTTCTACTCTAAAGCCTCTCTTGTCTCTTTCCTCCTCTAGATGTGGCACCAGTGTTCCTCACAGGCTAGGCTGGAGGTGCAGAATTGCTGCCTCTTTCGTGCTCGCTGGCCTCCTCCTCGCCGACATCATCCCAGTGGCCATTTCTCAGCAGGAGCTGGGCCCTGTGTACCTGGAGGTGCTGGCAAGCAGCATTGCTGCAGTGACGTGGCTCACGCACGGCTCCGCTCTTCTCGTGCTCTGCAGGTCAATTCATGGCTCTGCCCAGGGACCCGCAGCCCTGGTCCTCCTGGCTCTCCTCCCTGCACCCTCCCTCATCATCACCCTGCTGTGGTACTGCCAAACTGGGGCAGCTTGGTCCCCTGCCCRCCCTGCGGCGTGCGCCAGGTTCTCCATCCTCTGTCTGCAGCTGGCCTGTCTTCTTCTCTATGCGGTTAGCTACCTCTTCCCAGCTGCCAACAGGCAAGAACTTCTCTCCATCAACACCTCCTGGCAGCGAGAGCCGCTCGTCTCGGGCGCAGGGATCCCCRCGTGCCAGGCAGTGGCAGAGGACGGGGAGAGTTGGCTCTCGCGCTTCTCCTACGCCTGGATGAACCCTCTGATGGAGCGTGGCTACCGGCGGATGCTGAGCCAGCCCCAGGAYGTCTACGTGCTTCCCCAGCAGCTCCGAGCCGCCCGCGTCTGCGGCCAGTTCTACTCCCGCTGGCAGGAGAAGGTGGCTCCACGGCACGCGGAGGAGGAGACCGAGTCTCTAAGCAGCCCCCTCGTTGCGGGAGGGGACAGCAGCAGGGGACGGAGCTCAGCGGCAGCCCCGGAGCACGTGCGGCTCCTCCCAGTGCTGCATTCCGTCTTCGGGCTCCGCTTCTACTCACTCGGGCTGCTCAAGCTGGCTGGCAGCCTGCTGGGATTCTCGGGCCCGCTGCTTCTGAACCTGCTGGTGAACTTCATGGAGTCACAGCAGGAGCCCCTGAGCCACGGGGTCCTCTACGCACTCGGGCTCTTCGCTGGCTCCTTCCTGGGCGCGCTCTTGAGGAACCAGTTCAGCTACGAGGTGTACAAGGTGATGCTGATGGTGCGGGCCGCCGTCGTCTCTGCCATCTACCGCAAGGCGCTGCGTGTCAGCAGCACCAGCCTCGYTCGCTTCACCGTGGGGGAGATTGTCAACTTCATGAGCACAGACACGGATAGGTTGGTCAACTTCTGCCTCAGCTTCCACGAGGTGTGGAGCTTGCCCTTCCAGTTTGCCATTACCCTCTACCTCCTCTACCAGCAGGTGGGGGTGGCCTTTCTGGGAGGCCTGGCCTTGGCCTTGCTGCTTGTGCCCATAAACAAGGTCATAGCCAACCGCATCATGAAGAGCAACAAGGAGATGCTGAAGCACAAGGACACACGGGTCAAGGTGAGGGGCAGCTGGTGGCCTTCTAGGCTCACTGCTCTTTGTTGTCTCTGTTTGTCTCTAGAACACTGGCTTTTTGAGCACTTGTGAATCCCAAGTGGATTGATTGAATTAAACTTACTGAGAAAAGTGCCGGAGAGGGACACAGGGACACACACGCACACACACACAGAAGTGCCTCAGGGTGATGCAGKTTCACTACCCACAAAGTAGTGAACCTCAAATATTTGTCTCACCTCGTCTCTTGGGCAAATTTAGGCTCCTTATGGGTACTTTTTGTTTGGAAAACAGTTAAAGTAGGAGTCCTATTTCTTTTCTCACAGGTGATTCTATCCTGTTACTTCAGTAATGTTTTCAATCCTGAGGTGCTTTGCAGTATGGACAAAGGCAATGCTCATGGCCATAATGGTTTATATTGCTCCAGTTTGATGCCCACAGCCATCTTTTCCACTGCTTTCTGCATATTTGGAGTGCCACCTCTTTCACCTCATGCMAAACATGTTGCCAGTCAAATGATGCCAAATGAGCCCAGTGTCTTCAGTGTGAGGGGGCAGCATTTTCAGTCCCTATTTCTGCCACGCTTTGTAAGTATAAAGCACAAGTCAGCCCTGTGGCAGACCCATTTGGAGCTTTTAACAGAAGCTGCATCTGATTGTGTGGGGTATCACTGGTTTGCTGTCCCTGGTCTCAGCTTGCTTTCATGGTGGGCACAGACATGTCTCAGCTCTCTCTGCTCATGTTGACCTGAGAGCAGGAATGGGAGGGGAACGTGCTGCAGGGCTTCCCGAGCTGCTGGATTTGGCCATCCATAGCTGCCACCAGCTGCATTGTGGCAGCCCCCGTGGCTCGTTATTCCATGTCATGCCAGGCCAGCAGGGGTGAATAGTGTCCACACTGGAGCCATAAAGTGCACAGGTCCCCGTGCTTCTGTTGCATATATTTCACTTGGGAAGCAGTGTWGTAGTTTGCCTCCTCCTGAGCTTTACCCAGCACAGGTAGCTGAGCAAGCTGGTTCAGTGAGGAAGAGCAAAGTTCCCAGCAGCTGCTGCGTGAATTTATATCCTTGTTATCGAGAAATGTTTCCTGGAATCTGTAGCTGGGCCTGCAGTAGGAGGCACCTGCAGACGTGGCCCTGGCTGCGATGTTGAGGTGGTGCCCGCTGTGTCAGGCGGGCGCCAGCTGCACTCTCAGGCTTTCCCTCTTCTCCTGCAGCTGATGACCGAGYTCCTGTGTGGCATCCGCGTGGTCAAGTTCTACGCCTGGGAGCAGCACTTTGGCGCCCGCATAGACGCCTGCCGCGCCAAAGAGCTGCGGAAGCTGAGAGCCATCAAGTACTTGGACGCGGTGTGCGTGTATCTGTGGGCAGCACTGCCCGTTGTCGTCTCCATTGTCATCTTCCTCACGTATGTGCTGCTGGGTCACCAGCTCACTGCCACCAAGGTGAGCGAGCAGGGAGATGCCAGGTGGCAGCAGCGCTCACCGGGGGCAGCAAGGAGGGCTCCGGAGGAGCGGGAGCCCCCAGTGGGGCTGCAGGTTGAGGGATGGTCTCTGGGAGAGTCAGTGTCTCCCCCAGCCCCTTCAGGCTGCCCCTGGGGAAGCTGTTTGGAGGGTACAGGCTGCAAGCGAGGTATTGCTTCCAGTTCACAGTTGTTTCCATACCCACACAGGTATTCACAGCACTGGCCCTCGTAGGGATGCTCATTCTGCCCCTCAACAACTTCCCGTGGGTGCTGAATGGGACCTTGGATGCCAAAGTTTCCCTGGATCGAATCCAACGTTTCCTTGAACTCGCAGACCAGGACCTGGAGGCTTATTATGCTCTAGGTAATGGAGTAGGGAGCAGGATGCTGAGCTTTGCACCTTGTCCAGGCAGGGCTCGGAGCAGGGAGCAGTGGTGTAGGACACAGGGGTAGCACCAGCAGCTGGCTGTTACCGCGTGCTTCAGGACAGGCACTGTTGGAGGCAGAGTGAAGGTGCTCAGTTTCTATGGAGAGCAGGAGGAAAGACTGTAGCATTGCTGTCACTTGTCCCCGTTGAGCCCTGCCATCCATGTCCCCTTGGAAGAGACTGTTCCGACCTGTCTCCAGAGCTCCTCTGAGACTGAAGCTATTGAGAACTCAGCTTAGTCTGGCAGAAAGGCTCAGATGGGTGCCCCTCTCCTGAGCCATCGCTGCTGCCTTTCTCTCCGCCTTTGCCTGTTGCCATTTGTTTGTGTTCAGCAGTAGGAGAAGCAGGTTGTCCTCACCGTGGCTCCCCGAGAGCCAGCAGGTCAGGTCACCTTGTATGGCCACAGTTGGAGGTAGGCGAGTTTGGGGAGGGGAGGAGAAGTTTAAGGACAAACCGATAGGTGGGTGCCTGTGGGTCCAGGACATCATGGACTTGTCACTGTCCGGCCTTGCCAGGGTGGTACATTGTGCTGCCTGCCCCTTGCAGGGAGTCCTTCGGGTCCTGCCTCCGCCGTGGAGATGCGAGGAGCAGCCTTCTCCTGGGCACCAGCCGAGGAGGAAGGCAGCGAGCAGGCCCCATCCACAGGCTCGCTGCAGCTGCGGGTGGAGAACCTGGCGGTGACAAAGGTGAGCAGAAATAGGGGAGGAAGGAGGAAAGATGGCCCCAGAGGAGCCAAATAATGGAGCAGGGAGAGCCGGTTGTCCTTTGAGCTGTGCGTCAAAATCATCTCTTGGCTAAGGTGCATGCAGCATGTGTCCAGTCTATCGGAGCTGCAGGGCACTGGAGAAGATCCTGGCATGGCTCCCCCTGCTTCCCACCTGCTTCCCAGAACAGGGGCTGAGGACACAGCTGGGCTCCAGGGTGGCTCAGTGGCTGTTTATACTCCTTGCAGACGTGGGTCCTGCCATACCAGGACTAGGAATCTGGTTTACTCAGCAACTGTGCCTGGCTCTGCTGCTGCACCTTTTGAGATAGTCCTAGTTCAGGACAGCAGTCAGCTTCCTTAAAGGCTGCGTGTGGCTCAAGAAACCTGGGCAGGCTGCCCTGCTCAGAGCCACAGGTTGCTTCTTTTGACTTCCTTCTGCAGGGGATGCTCCTGGGGGTTGTTGGAAAGGTTGGCTCTGGCAAGAGCTCCCTGCTTGCTGCCATTACTGGGGAGCTCATTAAGTAAGTAGTCAAAAAACTCCTCCTTGCCTGGCCCCTGCATCCCATGACAGGCAGGGACTGTCCAGTGCCACCCCATTTTGGTCTACCAGCAATTCTGCACTGCTCCCTTTTTCCCCTCACCTTTGGTGCGCTTGCAGGCAAGGGGGACAAGTTTATGTGTGTGACCTGGAGCAGGGATTTGGGCTGACCGCACAGGAGCCTTGGATCCAGTTCACCAGCGTGCGTGAGAACATCCTCTTCGGGAAGGAGTATGATGCCAGGCTCTATGAGACGGTGGTGGAAGCCTGTGCCCTCTCTGAGGACCTGAATGTGAGTGCCTGAATCCCAGCAGCCGATGCTCTTTTGGGTCTCAGGAGCTGGAGAGGCTCCGTCTGTGCTGCTCCCTGCGGTCAGGCAGGTATCACAGGTTCCATGGTGTTAGCCAGGGAACATGCTATTACACCTGGTAGGAAGCCAGGTCTCCTCTTCCAGTGTATAAGCTGGGTCTGGTTTTCTGAAATGCCAAGCACTAGGAGCTCATGTTTGCTTCAGCAGGAATTATGAGTATTCTGTGAAGATATTTATTTGAGAATTTGCAGACCATATATCTACTAGTAAACTGAGGGGGAACTGTTACCAGATACTTGAATTCAATTGTCTGTAATGTTAAACTGAATGGTCCCTGACATGGTTTTCATCCCACACAGTTATTGCTCTCCCCCAAAAACTTCCAATCACAATTTATTACTCAGACAATTTATTACTCAGCAATTCAAGTCCGGTCATCCCATTCTGGAGGGTAAGAGAGTTTAGTGGCATGAATATGGCCAARCTTTCCAGTCATCCACAGAACCAGAGTATGGATCATTTACAGTTTAGTTTATTGGTAAGATATCACCCCRAGGAATTATTGCCAGAGGCAGGAGAAAGACCCAGAGTTTTGATTCTGAGTCCCCTCTAGCATTCTGTCCTGTTTTAGGTGGATTTTATTTATTTTTTTATTTGTRTGATGTTTCAGATCTTACCAGCAGGTGACCAGACAGAGGTTGGCGAGAACGGTGTGACCCTCAGTGGGGGCCAGAAGGCTCGAATAGCCCTTGCCAGAGCTGTTTACCAGGTAAAAAGCACGACGGGCGGGCTGGGACAGATGGCACCCAGTGTCCATCAGATGTAGAGAAGCTGGAAGCACCCAGCTGGGCGCTGTGCTCCAGCAGCCTGGCTTGACTCGCCTCATGCAGGACCAAGGTGCCAGTGGTGTGCTGTGCTGAGGCACTGGGTCCTTTCTCTCTTTCACTGCCTGGAAGTGCATCCTTGTCTTCTCCTTCCCCTCAGGAGAAAGAGCTTTACCTCCTTGACGATCCTCTGGCAGCTGTCGATGCCAATGTAGCCAACCATATCATGCAGAAATGTGTTATGGGAGTTCTCAAGCACAAGACGAGGATCCTTTGCACCCACAGGACAGAGTTCTTGGAGAAGGCTGATGCTCTGCTGTTGATGGACAATGGCAGGGTGGTCAGGACAGGTAAACTGACTGGCGTCTGAGGCTTCTGCATGTGCCTGCATGACAGTCTGAGTGGCATGAGCAGGGATGGCTGTAAGGGAATGGGATTAACTGGGGGATCCCAGGAAAGGAAAAAGAGCTTGAGGACACTGCAAGTAGGTAGAGAAGACAGAGTGGAAGGGGATGTGCAGATGCACATAAAAAGCATGGCCTTAGGGTGAGTTCGTAAGGCATAATGCCATGGCAGGACGTGTGAAGCAGAGCCTTTAAAGGGTGCAGATGCTGTGAGAGAAAATAGGAAAGGTAGTGAGAGAAGGTAGGTGGTGTAATGAGAGAGCAAACTGGACCATTTCGTAGAAAAAGACTGCTAGAAGCTGGCATCTGTTCCTCAGACCCTGAAGCATTTGCATTTCTGTCTTTGCAGGAACACCGGCTGAGATCCTGCCACTTGTGGAAGCTTTCCCCAAGTTCAAGGACACGGACAAGAGGCAGAAGGATAGAGGTCAGTACCCATCGAGCTTGAGGGCGATGGGGGCAGAGCAGCTCAGTTCAAACATTCAGTCAAAGTATGTTGTTCTTATTGGCTCTCTTGATAAAATTTGAGGGCAGTTGCATTGAGAGGGGGTAAGTAGGAAAGAGGAGCAATGGGTGAAGTGCAGTAGAGAGAAAGGAAGTGGTGACCAGATATCATAGAGTGGATGGAGATGATTAGACTAAAGCTGCTGGCCCTGAGTCTGTGTTAATTCAGCTGACTGCATCCCGTTTGCTTCATTCCCACTTGCACTCTTTTGCTGTGTGCTTCTGTTTGTTTTGTCAGAAACAGTCCACAAGAAATAATTCCATAGAGAGTATGAACACATTTATGGGCTTGTCAGGAATTGCACGTTAAGTTGGAGAAAACGTATCTGGCCTCAGAATAGTGATCCCACCACCCTGCTCTGCTGTGGCAGTGCTGATCTGTGGGTGGTGTGTGCACAGGGGGAGAGAAAGCCCAAGTATTGGGTCCTCACCAGGGTTAGTGTTTGATTCTTCTCTCCTAGCACAGTCCAGATCTGGATGAAAGTCTGCCAGGGTTGGCATGCCTGGCTTGAAGGGGAAGGGAGGAGGGAAGACAAGCCTGCCCCATAGCCTACGCTTGTTCTGTTTGCAGTGAGGGGCAGCTACAAGAGGAATTCATGTTGCCCTGACCTTGCTTTTTCCTCTGTACCCACAGCCCCTGAGGAGCAAGGCCAAGAGGATGCCATAAAGACAGAGGCAGAAGAATTGACCCCAGATGATCCCCTTCTCCACCAGGAGGAGGAGAAGAAAGAGGGAGCAGTAGCTTTTCAGGTGTACAAGGCATATTGGCTGGCAGTGGGCAGCTGCTTGGCGTTGTCCATCCTCTTTTCCCTGTTCCTGATGCAAGGTGAGGCCATGGCCCAGTACTGCATCTCTCTTTGGACCTTCCTTTCTTGCTCCTTGTCTGTGTGCAGAGCCCATGGAAAAGAAGGCAGCTGGGGTTTAATTGCTCTCACTGCAGCAGGAAGACTCCTACCTTCCTGTTCCCTAGACTGAATAACATAGGTGGGAAGGGGACAGGCGCTGGCCTYCACTTGGCTGCTGCAGTTTTACCCCCACCAGCAGTGTCCAGTCACTGCTGCAGCTCAGGGCTGGTCCCTTGCTCTTGCAGCTGTGCCAGTGGAGAACAAGGACAGCMCGAGATGACAACAAAATTTCCTTTCTTCTTTTCTGCTTCCTATGGCTGATTCAAAGGTTGAATTCCTCCACATGCATTCTGTCTCTCTCTGCAGCTTCAAGAAATATCTCAGATTGGTGGCTATCACACTGGATCTCCAGCATACCCCCGACAGGAAAAACCTCTGTGATGCTCTCTTCAGCTCCTCTCCCTTCCCCACAGCTGCTGCTCTTTGCTGGGCTTGTGTAAGTGATCGCTGGCCAGGGGATGCCAAAGGCAGCCAGCAGCACTCGCCCTGCTTTTCCTTTGACCATCCTGCTGCATGGGGTTTGTGTGACTGTTTAGAGAAAGARAGATAAATGAAGTTCCTGGCCTGAGAGGGAACTGATGAGGGGCCTGTGGGGCTTGTAAAATGGGGCTGATAGAAACCATCAGGAGGCAGCCTGGGGAAGGAATGTGTTTGTCCCAGCATGTCAAGTGGATGGCCTCTTACAGACTTGTCTGGTTGAAGTGTCCTGGTTTCCCCTTGAGCATTCCCCTCAGTTCTGACATGCCATCTGTGAGTTTAYTGTCTCAGGGACCCTGGAAGATCCATGGTCTTCTTCCTTCTGTGTCCCAGGTTCCCCGTTCAAGCTCTGGACGCAGTCACAGTCACTTCCAATGGTTCAGTGGATGTGACTTTCTACCTAACAGTTTATGGGAGCATTGCAGGAGCCAACTCCCTCTTCACCGTTCTGCGGGCCTTCCTCTTTGCCTTTGGCACCATCCGTGCTGCCACTGTTGTCCACAGCCGGCTGCTCCAGCGGGTTATAAAGGTAACGGCCAGAAAAGTCAGGACAGGCTGGGAGCCCTGCAAGTCTCTCCTCCCTGACATTTTTCTCTAGTTGGGGTTAAGAGTTTGAGATGTGAATTAGTTTCCCTTGGTGTTAGCTGATAGTTAAGGATATAGTGTTAAGGCTTGAAGTGTAATCCTTCCAGCATCCACTCTAGAGAGATGGGTTACCAAATGTTACAAAACACAAAATTAGCCCTAAATTTCCTTTGGCAAACCCCAGCTCCAGGCTGAGAACGCCCTGATACCAGTACCAASCTGTATGCTGAGACTCTGGGTCACTTGAGGTCCATCGTGAACTCAAAAAGTACCAAGATTTCAAGTCAAAGTGCCATGAAGATTGGACTGTAGGACTGATGTTGTGCAAGGTGTACTTTGTTCTGAGGGCACTTTGTTCTAGGTTGTGTGAAGAACCTGGCCCACCTGAAGCCAGCAAGTTAAGGTTCAGAAAATACCTCCCAGGCTGGCACGTAGTGAATAGGCTGTGTGGAGTGTGTAGGTTAGCAGAGTCCCTTGGGCTCTGGTGGTTATTGGGGTAAAGAATCAAGGAAATTTTCGGAGCACAAGGAGCCAATGAGCCAGGAGTCAGAACAGGCCCAGTAGAGCTCACTCTGTTCCATGTCAAGCTGGTTTATATCTCTTCACCATTAGGATTAGAGATATAGCTCAGGTGAGGACTAGTTTGATCTGTTGCAGGATCGCAGATTCAGATCCAGATGAGATTGGAAGGAGTCATCAGGCAAGATTTGGTTGGTTTTGGTTTTGGTATATGCCAGATAACAAAGTCCCAGTCCTGAGAAAAGTTAGGTCTTCAGGCTAGGGTTAGGATTAGAGGATTAAGATTATTGACTAATATTAGAAAATTAGAGGTTAGGATTAAAGGATCATCTTGCTGGCTACCAGTGTTCCACTATGGGATCCAGGTAAATCATCAGATTAGTTTTTGCGTCAGCACAGTAGTGTGGCATTCCCTATATTAGCTCTAAGCCTGACCTGGAGAGGTACCTTTGGGCATGGAATTTAGGTTAGGATTTAAAGGTATGGACTAGATTGGCAGTATCATAACTTTGTGGCTACCATCTTGGAACCTGTCAGCCATCCTGCACAGGAGGGCTCCCTCCTTTCACCACGAGAGCTGCTCGAGTTGTTTAGCAAGAGGGTGGTGGCTTAGAGGCTTCTTTCCCAGCAGAGGAAGTTGTGGGGCTGGGGTGACACTGTTGGCCAGCCTGGCTGTGCTTGGCTCTGCATTGCCAGGGCCCCGCTGTGCAGCCGAGCCCCACGGCAGCCCAGCGTGGCTCTTGTTTTCCCCTTCCCTTGCTGCCAGGCCACGGTGACCTTCTTTGACACCACGCCGGTGGGCCGCATCCTGAACCGCTTCTCTTCAGACCTGTACTGCGTGGATGACAGCCTGCCTTTCATCCTCAACATCTTCCTGGCCAACACGTACGGGCTCCTGGGCGTGCTGGTGATGATCACCTACGGCCTCCCTTGGGTTGCCCTGGTCTTGCTGCCCCTGGCTGCCCTCTACTTCTGCGTGCAGCGCTACTACCGGCGCACGTCGCGGGAGCTCAAGCGCCTCTACAGTCTCACCCTCTCGCCCATCTACACGCACTTCTCCGAGACCCTCTCGGGGCTGAGCAGCATCAGAGCCATGCGAGCAACACGCAGGTGAGCRCAGGCAACCAGGGCTGTGGCTCTGTTTATGCACCAGAGCCATGGGACTGGTTGCAATGTTGGGAGCATCCCCACTCTCCTCTCCTGATGTGATGTGGGCAGTGCTGAGCTGCACGGCCTAGCGTAGACCTCTATTATGTCCCCACCAGGTTTGAGATGGAGAATCAGCTGCGCCTGGAGCAGAACCAGCGCTGCCTCTTTGCCAGCAACGCAGCCATGCAGTGGCTGGACATCCGCTTGCAGATGATCGGCGTTGCAGTGGTTACTGCTATTGCAGGAATTGCCATTATCCAGCACCAGAAGCAACTGGCAAATCCAGGTGGGCTTCCAGGGAGTACTCCGTGCCCTCCGCATGGCTGTGGCCCAAGGGCACCTTCCCTCCTATTTGAGAGCTTCACCAGCTCCCTATGCTGGTGGGAGATGGAGCATTTGTTTGTGGTCCCCCTGCAACTCACCCCCTAAACAGTGTTTTAGCTCCCGTCCCTTCTCTTGCATGTCTCCATCCCAGAATGGGATCCCCCCCTCCAGAACAGTGGCTTCTTCCACTTCGGAAGTGCCTTCTTCTCTTTGTCCTGCCACCAGGATCACAGATCCTTCCCTGCCAGTAACATGCCTGTTTATGCTTTTGTCATCTCAGGACTTGTGGGTCTGGCACTCTCATACGCCTTGTCTGTCACAAACCTGCTCTCAGGCCTCATTTCCAGCTTCACATTGACAGAAACCATGATGGTGAGCGTGGAGCGGACAGAGGAGTACACAACAGACATCCCCATAGAACCTCAGGATAAACTGGTCCAGGTAAAAGCTAAAATATGTTCTCAGACACTGGCCTGTTTCTCATTCTCTGGCTCTGTGCCCTGCACTTGCCTCCTGGCAGAGATCACAGGGTTCCAGTGAATGGGTGGAGGGCCTTCACCCACACCCACGGCACCTCCCTTGATAATTCAGCTTTTGCCAGTACATCCCTCGAGGGGGTGAATCTCAGGAAGACGTTAAACCTGGAACAAGGTGAAGGGGGGAAGAGCAAAAGGGGCACTGTCACCGAGCTGCCAGAGAAAAGCAAGCCTAGAAAGGGCTGGAGATAGAGATGGGCTGAAAAAGGGGTCTGAGGGCCAAGAAACCAGCCRCAGGGGTGGCTGGGGCTTGGCTGGGGACAGGGGGCCTGCAGCTGGCAGTGGGTCACAGTGTCTTGCGCTGGTCCCTGTCAGGTTGCTGCAGACTGGCCAAGCCAGGGGCACGTGGAGTTCCAGGAGGTGGTTCTGGCGTACCGGGCAGGCCTGCCCAACGCACTCGATGGAGTGAGCTTCGCCCTGCGTCCCGGAGAGAAGGTGGGGATTGTGGGTCGCACGGGATCCGGAAAATCCACCCTTTTCTTGGCGCTTTTCCGYATGCTGGAGCTGAAAGCAGGGCGGATTCTCCTGGACGGTGTCGACAGCCGCCTGGTGGGCTTGAAAGACCTGAGGTATGGAGGGCTGAGCAGATAGGGGGCAACTGGCGGGTGGTATGGGGGGAAAGAGCTGCCAGGGGCTGGGTGCTGAGAGGCAGAATGAGGGGGAAACAGTTTTGCTGTGTGGGCACCCTCTTGTTGTGTTGTGCAGCATCTTATGCTCTGTTATTTCTGAGCAGTTGTGCTGAGGATCCCAGACTGAACATATGACCCACGCTTTGTCGCTGTGCATCTAAGCCGTACAGCAAGCCAAGGCACCTCACCCCAGAGAAACAGACCTTTGCTTTCCACTGAACCCACCTCGTGTCCTCAGTTCTCCCGTGCTTGCAGGTCCAGGCTGGCCATCATCCCCCAGGATCCATTTCTGTTCAGTGGCTCAATCCGAGAGAACCTGGACCCGCAGGGACAGCGCACGGACGCTGAGCTGTACGAGGTGCTAGAGCAGTGTCACCTGCRGGACGTGGTCCTTCACATGGGTGAGTCTGAGCCCAGCGTGGCCAGTCCTGTGTGCAGAGAGGGGAGGTGGCCTCAGCTCAGCCAGCAGCTGGGGAGAAGGGCCCCACAGATGCAGAGAGGAATTGATAGCTGAGGCCCCACTAGGACAGTGGTGAAAGAGGCCACTGAGACCCCCAGGACGCTCCCTGAAGATTTCGTAGCAAGAGGTTGGCAGGTGGTGTGGGTCAGACAGGCAGGGCCTGTCTGTCTTGATCTTGCTGACAAGACCAGACTACAGCAAATGCTGGAGCAGAGCCTGAGGGACACAGCAGTGCTCTGGCTCTAGCAGAGTGTTGCATCTCAGTGCTGGCTGTTGCTTACATCTCCGTGACTGGGGTTTTCAGTGGGACTGGGGAAGCTTCAGCCTGGAAAAGCAGTTTGGGGCCCGGCACAGAGCCTGGCGGGTGACTGCTGAGCTTGCATCCCTGCAGGTGGATTGGACAGCGAGCTGGGAGAGAGAGGGAAGAGTCTCTCTGTTGGACAGAGGCAGCTGGTGTGTCTGGCCAGAGCCCTCCTGACACAGGCCAAGGTGAGTGCCCTGTGTTGGTGGCATAATGGAGAGGGCAGCCGCTGATGCTGATGCTGGCACAGTAGTCGGGCACAGTAGTCGGGCTACTCCCAACTTTGGGAGTTTTGGGGATGAGTGACCTGACCAGTGATACCTTGTCAGGTTGTCCCTAAGCTGGGACTGGGAACTTCCCTGTCATGTTTGGGAGCTTCTTCTCCCTCTGTCCCTGGCAGGTGTTGTGCATTGATGAGGCCACAGCCAGCGTGGATCAGAAGACCGACCAGGTGGTGCAGCAGACCATCCGCCAGCGCTTCGCCGACAGGACGGTCCTGACAATCGCTCACAGGTACAGAGGGCTGAGCCTGCTGTGCCCTGGCTCACCCGGCATGGCACCGCCGCCCCGCTGCGCTGCCCTGCCATGCCTGCGCCTCGAGCCGAGCAGGGAGGTCTCTGGGATGGGCTTTGGGGGTGCAAAAGCTTTCGGGCTGCCCAGGGAGGTTGTGGAGTCTCCTTCTCTGGAGGTCTTCAAAACCTGCCTGGACGCCACCCTGTACCACATGCTGTGGGTGTCCCTGCTTGAGCAGGAAGGTTGGACTAGATGATCTCTAGAGGTCCCTTCTAACCTTGAACATTCTGTGATTCTGTGAAAAGGCTGGCACTTGYCTGGTTCACTCCTCTGGGGTTTACACCTCCGGGTGCTGGAAGGACTGTACATGAAAATGTTGTACCCAGAAGCTGGGGGCAGCAAAGGGCTAAGTCTGTGTACCCCATGCTGTGGTGAATCGGCTCTCGTGGCTCTGGCAAACAGCACCCGGAGCAGTGCAGAAATGCCCTGCAGAAAGGAGCAAAGAGAATGTGCGGGTGGAGCGGGATCCCCGCCTCAGCAGAGGGCACTGCAGGACAGCTGGAGGAGCAGGGCTGCAGCCAGCTCCCTGCATGGATTAATAATTCTGTTCTCCAGCTCCCCGCGCCAGCAGGCGAGATGTAGCCCGGGCAGGACAGGTTGGCGCTGCTTGCCCCGGAGCTGACAGCTTAAACTGGGAAGTAGGGGCACGAGATGGTTGTAGACAGAGATGGAGACTGTAGCTACCGGGAAGGGCTGGGTGASTGTTAGATATTCTCCTGCCTGCTGCCTCTTGAGTGAGAGCTTGGAGGGATATGGGAGTTTAGAGGGGTAATGCAGTGGTATGGAGGTGCTTCGGGGGGAGTTGTTTCCCAGCACAAAGGGCAAACAAGCAGATGGTGGGGGCTGGTGTCCTGCTGTGCAGAGGTGGGAGTGACAGATGATGGCTGGATTGGGCCTTGCAGGTAAAATGAGTGGGTTTTGCTTGGTAAAATAGATAGTAGGTAGTGAGGAGAGATGAGAGGGAGCAGCAATGTGGTTCCTAYGCTAGAGAGATTAGAGTGCAGTAAAGGAGGTAAGTGCTCTGTGGGCTGAGCTGTGGTAAAGAGGATGGCTCTTTGATGGAGGAGCTCTTAGGAGAACCAGAAAAGTGAGGAATAACAGGAGGCTAGGCAACAAGCCTGGTAGCAAGCCAGGCAGCAAGCCAGAGATGGTGCCAGACCCTCTTCCACTGGAYGAAGGGAGACAAGAGAGACCAGTAAGGGAGGAAGGGTGATGGCAAGGTTGGGTTGTGCCTGTGCATCTCCCAAGCCATTCGGCTCCAGGTGAGCCATTACTTGGATGCAGGCCTGAAAAGTGACCTGGTACTTGTTCCGGGCCCCTCCAGGTGACTGTCAGTGCTGCAGGTTGGCTCTGATGTGKGGCCAAAGAGTAACCTGAGGGCTGAGCCCTGGGGCTGCTGCTTGCTCACGCTGAGCGCTCCCTCTGCTCTGCAGCTTTTGGGGCTGTTTTTGCTCCCTGCACAGTGCGCGACAGCCCAAAGCTATCGCTGCTGCTCTGTGGCCTTTGGGAGGGGACAGGGAGGGAGGGGAAGGGAGGCAGAGGGGGTGGCAGAAGAGGGCCACTCCGTGCGGCGCTGGCGGTGGGGCCGTCACCGGGGCCGGCCTCTCGTCCCGCAGGCTCCGCACCGTCCTGGACTCGGACCGCGTGCTCGTGATGCAGGCCGGCAGGGTGGCCGAGCTCGACTCCCCGGCCCGCCTGCGGGACAAGGAGGGATCCCTGTTCCAGCAGCTCCTGCGCAGCGGGCAGCAGTGACAGCCGGAGCCCGGCCGGAGCCCAGCCCCGCTGCTGGCCTTCCTCTTGCCCTGGCCCCCGCTTGGCAGGCCAGGAGCTGCTGAGAGGGGAGAAGGGTTTGTTCCCATCCCAGTAGGGAAAATGGGGATGGGTGTCTAGGGCTGTGCCAGCTTGGCTGGTGGGGTGCTGCTCCACACCACGGCTCCCTTCTGAGATCACAGAGGGTTTATCTTCTGCTCAGTGGGGAGGCAACAACTCCTAGTTTGAGACCTTGTCTCGCAGGTGCAGTTTAAAATAAAGTGGCAATGCCCTAGCACTGTGTTTGTTGTTCAGCTGTCCTCTTTGGCTCCCAGACCTCGGCTTCCTGGYGAGCTGTAGCAGAGGTGCCCTCTCTGCACAGGGACCCCCCTTCCTGCATCCTCGCGTGCTTTCCAGGTGCACCAGGCACTCCCAGGAGGCTGCACCAGGGGACCCTGCTCCTCTTCTTCCACCTCCCCGCGGACACCTTCCCCCATTACAGGTTTTCAGGCTGATTTATGACAAGACCTCTTTTTTTTGGGTTTTTTTTTTTTTCCCCAATGATTCTTATTCTTCTTCCTTATCTTCCCTTCCAGCTTCTGTCAGATTTAGGATGAGCTTGCTCTTCCTATCAGCTCCCATGGCTTCACTCTGAGCCTCTTCCTTTTCTCCCTGAGCCTCGGAAGCTGCTCCAGGCAGGTACACATCCTTGCTCTGCTCTCCTGGCCCATGTCCCTTTTCTGCAGTGAGGCTGCAGGAGCCACCTCTGCTCCCTGAAGCCACRTCCTTCTTTGCCTAGTGCCTAATACACTAAATGCTTCTCCATCCCACGAGCCTTACCACTTCTTTCTGGGAGCCTCTGGCGCTCTCCCAGCAGCACAGCTCCAGCGCAGGGAAGCAGAGGGCCTCCAACTAGCTAAAGGTTTATGGTGGGCCAGAACATGGGGAGGAACCACCACCCTGCCTGGACCTGCGTGGAGATGCTCAAAACCCAACAAGCAGCCGAGCCACCTGCTCTAACTGCATATGTTGAGAATGCGAGGTTGAACTAGATGGCTTCCAGAGGTCCCTTCCAGCCTAAATGAGTTTATAGTTCTCTGATGCACTGGGTCTGGGCTTGTATTTGTTTTATTTCATAAAKGTACATTATCCATCCACATATTAAAAAAATAATCTTTCTGATGAAGCCCCAGGTCTCCCTCCTGGCTGGGTGCTACTTCCTCTGCCCAGTCTCTTTGCACRCCGCCTTGGGCCCTGCACAGCAACCCTACAGGCCAGTAGCTGGGTTTTTGTTGGTTGGTTGGTTGGTTTTGTTTTGATATCCACTGCTTAGCCCTCCATGTCCATGGGAAGACGCTGAAAATCCTGGGCCTGGCAGGACTCTGCTGCACGCTGGACCAGAACAAGCAGCAGCTGACCCAGTATACAGGGTGACCTGGTCATGTGCTGCCATGCTTTGGTAATGGCAGAGAAGTGAGTGCCACATCTGCTTCCCAAGCTCATCCCAGGCTCTGTAGCCTGCCCTTGCATCCACGGCAAGTTGCTTAGCCTTGGACGGAGAAATGCTGCACTGGCTGATGTGAGGCTGGTCCTGGCAGCACGCCTTGAGGTGCCTGGGAAGGTAAGTGAGGTCCCGTGTTGCTCCTGACCCAGCTCAGCCCCAGCCTTGTCCATCTCCAGCTTCACCTGCAAGGATGTGTGAGAAGGACCAGCTCAGGCCCTGAGAACCCCAAGGAGAACGGGGTCCCCCCATCAGCAAACARTGAAGCGGAAGCATCTGCTGGAGCTGGGAAGGAGCTCTTGTSATGTGGAGATGGACCAGACAGGACAGCTCAGTAGGTAGGGGAGAAGACATGTAGGTCATCAGGAGGAAGGTACYGCATGTGTTTGTAACCCCAAATCCATCAGCAAGAAGAGAGGGCATCACACAGGCAGAGAACGGACACRAGAGGGTCTCACGTAACCACCAGAGCTTCCTCCCCCGGCTTCACAGGACCGCGAGGCCGCAGAACGAGGGCGCTCGTCCCTCCCTGGGGTCCAGAAAACACCCAGGCTGCAGCCTCCAGGAGCAGCGGGGAGCTGCCCTGCCCCGCGCTGGGGCACGAAGGCCCGGGCAGGCACCAACAGCCCCAAGGTCGCAGAAGAAACAGCCCGAGGCAACGGGGTGAAGCCGCTTCCCGGCGTCGCGGAGACAGATTCACGAGGCCCGGCAGGGTTTGGAGGGGCGAGAAGGCCGCCCCCTTCCCGGTGGCTCCYGGCCCCGTTCCCGAGAGCTTGCGGCAGGCAGGGCGCCTAGGGCGCTCACATGGGGCTGGCCTGGTCTGTGGAGGCCCATGGCGTGGGGCAGGCGGYGTGGGGCAGGCGGCGTCCCCCAGGCACGGCCAAGACACCGCGGGCCTTGGCCGACACCGCAGGCCTTGGCTGACACCGTGGGGCTTGGCCGAGGCGCTCGCGGGCCGGGGAGCCCTTCCTCGCTGCCCCGTTCGTGGCTCCCCAGGCGGCAGTTCGAGGGGGTGCCGGCGCGGCGGCYGGCCGGGGCCTGGCTCTGAGAGTCCTCACAGCTCCGTCGTCTTTCTGGGCTCGATCAGCACTGTGTTTAGCATGCCCACCTGGCACTCCTGGTCCTGGAGCTTCCTCGCAGCCTGCGAGGGGCTTTGGCACCAGTTCGACCTCTGACGCCCCCTGTGCCAGTTCCTCAGGATTAAGAGCACGGTGACAAGGACCAGCACGGCGGTGAGGATCCCGAACACCAGCACCGTCACCAGCTGGGCCTCGCTCAGCCCCGAGTCCCGCTGCGTCACCACCTCTTTCACGGAGATTTTCAACARCCCTTCCCCGGGCACCTTCTCGCTGTGGTTGGCCACGCGACGCCCCGTGACCACAGTCCTGACGGGCTCCAGCTGAGTCACCCCCGGCATCTCGCTGGTGGTGCTCTTCACCACAACAACGACGCTCTCGGGGTTCGCTCCGTGGTAGGGGGCAGCCCAGGTGGGCTCGGGGATGGGAATCTCGCAGGTTTTGCCCATAAAACGGTCAGGGCACAAGCAGTCGTAGTCGTTGATGCGGTCGTAGCACTTTGCCCCATTCTTGCAGGGCTGGCTGGCACARTCGTTGATGTTGATGGTGCAGAAACGTCCCTCGAAGCCCACCTGGCACTGGCAAGAGAAGCGGTTGATGCCGTCGTGGCAGGTGGCACCGTTGGCACAGGGACGCATGAGGCAGTCATCCACGTCGGTCTCGCAGAGGGCGCCCACGAAGCCGGCGAGGCACCGGCACGTGAAGTTGCTGGCAAAGCCRTTCTCGTCTTGACACTGCCCCCCGTTCTTGCACGGAGACCTGCGTGGAGAGAGCAAGGATGGGCCACGGGCCCGGAGAATGCACAGCTTTCTCTRCCCCACCGAGGCAAACACACACAGCTGCTCGGCTGTGTGTGGGCAGGACAGCCCTTCTCAAAGAGAAGCATGGGCAGGAGGTGCCCTCTCCCCATGGGACATGGTCCCCCCAAAGATATTGCCATGCACAGGCCTGTTGTTCCCCAGCAAGAGGCTTAAGCCAAACAGTGTGAAAAGGAAGCAGGCCCTGCTGCTGATCCTCAAATGCATGAATGATGCCAAGTCACTACATTCACAGTGACAAGCGATGGGCCTCTGTTCAGACCACAGCATGGTCCCTGCCCTGGTAGGATTGCAAAGGGCCCTGGGTTGGGCTTAGCTCCGTTAATGCGTGGAAATCCACCGGTACTGGGCCAAGCTGGGGCACTGCTTGCTTGGTAGTGCTTGGCCTGGCACTGCTGCTGCCTGTAACCTCGCTGCCTGCCCTGCCCCTGCTGCTGTGTCTCACCCTGCCTTCTCACATGGCCCTGTCTTCAGTTCGCAGTCCTTCCCGTGGAAGCCTTCTGGACACAGGCAGGAATACTCCCCATCTCGGTCGTAAATGCACTGGGCCCCGTTCTGGCACGGGGACTGGTGTTCGCAGATGTGTATGTCTGAGGGGAAAGAAGCAGGCAGGATTAGTAAGAAAAGAGGGCGATGTGGCCAATTCACTACCAACACAGCCCATCAAACTTGTGGGGGACTGAGAAATGGCAGCAGTTTCTCTCTCTTCCCCTCTCTAACACATGCCCACAGCAACAGAAACACTGCGTGTACGCGGTGCTTCCCAACTAGTTTGCAGATGTTTCAGCCTGGCTGCCTATGGCACAGGATTTGGGTTCATGGGGAGCAGGACGTCCCTCGTGCCCCTGCAAACCTGCCTGGCTTGAGGGGCCGCCGCTGGTGTGCACAGAGGCTACGTGGTGACGCTGCCTCCTGGCCGCTCAAGGGGACCCCCTGGCCACCTGCTGAAGGCAGGAAGCCCTGTGGGAAGCGGGAGGTGCTGCCCAGAGCCCCATCGTGGCGTGGGAAAGGCAGTGAGTTCACTTGCTCCACTTCCTGAGGCTCGTGGGAGCTACGGCACCTCTTGCCATGCAGCCAGGGAGCAGGTCCCGGCAGCCTGGCCTCTTTCGCAGAAGGGGAAAGGGATGTTCCCAGCTGACACGGGTGACATCCCGTCTCCCTGGCAGCCGGCGTCACCAGGGTTGCTCCCAGCTGTGCCTGTCCCACCCACCCACGTGGCTGCAGTGGCTTCTCCCCCCGACCCACACAGAGGAAGGCAGCACCTCAGCGCGTGGGCTCGAGTGAAACCCACCTCCTGCCACCCCTCTGCCTTGGGCCCAGCATCCCGGCCGCCTGTGCCACGTGCCGAGCCCGGGTCTCACCTTTGTCGCAGAACTTGCCGGCCCAGCCGCTGTGGCAGATGCACTGCCAGGGCTGGTGGCACGTGCCGTGCAGGCAGCCCGGCATGCGCACGCACTCCTCGCAGAACTCGCCCTCCCAGCCTGGGTCGCACCTGCACAGGGACAGGACAGGACGGGCAGCCGGACGCAGGGGCTGGCTCCCTGCGCCACGGAGCCACACGCTGGGAAAGCCTCCCAGGGAGCCCCACGAACCTGCTGGCTCCCTCCTCCCAAGGAGGCTGTTACTGACATCTCCCTAAGGGAAGGAGGAACCGGCCCTCGAGGACTGTCTGTTCCATCCTGCCTGCTTCCATTATAATTTGTCCGTGTGATTTTTCCTGTAAAGTGCATGGTAATCCAGCTGCGGAGCCCTGCTCGATGTGATTGACGTACAGATTCCCTCATCTACAAGCTCCCTGGGGAGGTGTGATGGGAAAAGCAATCCCGGCAGCACGCAGTGGTTGGACCCTGAGCCAAGCGAGTGGTTGGGTGGCAGTGACTGGAAGCAAAGCTGTTGCTCCGCTGGTCTCCCTGCCCTCAGACCTGCAGCTCCCATGGGGAAAGGAAGTGATAACGAGGTGAGAAGAAAAGGGCATGTCTATGGAAGCAGAGCTGAGTGGAGGTGCATTTGGCACCAAATGTAACCAAGGCTAGACTCCAAACAGGGAAGAATTAAACCTAACAAGGACAATGTGGTCTTCACAATAAGTAACAGCTTCCATTCTCRCGGCCAGGACTCATTTTAGCAAGATGCACAGGTGAGCACCGCGCTGCCAGGCTGGTCAGACACTGCGCTTCAGCAGCTGGGACTGGCTATTGTAACAGTAGTCTGTTCCCAAGAGATGGGGAGAAGGTTAAATGAAAGAGAAAAACAAACAAACAAGACTCTTTGACGGGAATGGATGAGATTCTGACAAAATCAGGCAAAATGCATTYGTAATTCAGATCTGAGAGACAGCTCTACCCCAGGGTGCCCATAGACTGCAGCAAGGGGAACAGGAGACCTAGGCTTGCCTTTTGAGGGGAGAAGAGCCAGCCCTAAAAGCTAACAGGCAGGGGGCCAGGTCAGAGAAAAGGCTCGTGTTGGGGGTGGTTTCAATGGGTTCCTGCAAGATCCAGGAAGCGCTCAGGAGGCCTGAAATCTGGAGCAGCAACTCGCACGCTCGTCTGCACCAGAACAGCTTCCAAGGAGGCCACCCAGGGCTCCACGCAGAGCAGCGCCTTGCCCCGGGCTCTGCACCCTCTCCCATGGGCATGGAAGGGATGGGGAGGAGCCGCCTCCGGCAGCTGCAGCCGGGGGCCAGCAGGAACAGAGCTGGGCTCAGAGGCCACGGCCGGTGCCGCCGGGCACGTGCCATGCAGATGTCCTGGCCGGAGCTCCCCGCCTGACACCGCAGAGCCACATCTGCTCCTTTGGGCAAGAACAAGTGGCCGGGAACAGCGCTGCCAGGCGCCGCTGTGAGAAGGAGCTGAGCGTGCCCCRGGGAGGAGAACAAGGGCCTCTAAGCAAGCGGGATGTCCAGCTCCTTGCAGCAGCACAGAGGCGCCCGGGCTGGGCTGCTGCTTCCAGGGCTGCCCTGTGGGATCAGGCTCTGCCAGCCTGCACTGGGCAGGGGACAGGGCCACCTGGGCAGCGCTGCTGTGTCACTGGCGGCAGCACAGGGACATGCTCTGAGCTCTGTCTCATGGGATCTGGACACCCACTGGGGCTGGGACACCAGGTATCACCCACACACTCTTGCTCAGGGACAGAGTTGGCTTGTGGGGGTACATGGGCTGCTCTCTGGCAGGCCAGCATGGCCCACCAACCTCCTGGCATGGCCTTCATAAAGATCCCGACCTAGACCCCCCTGTTGTCTCTAGAAGTCACCCTTGAGGCTGCTGATGCCCTCAGACCTTTCCTCATATGTTGGCAGCTCTTCTGTCCCATGTTCCCAGGGAGAGCATCCCATCTCAAACAGCAGGGAAGCCAAAGGCTGGCCTTCTTCTAAACCTGTTGTTGCCTGATGTCTTTCCCCGACCCATCTGAGCCTCCAGTTTCCCTCCCATCACTGATGCACAGCAGTGCTGCCCACACTCCTGCCAGACTGTCAGGACGGTTTGGGTCTGGCAGAACGATGTCAATAGCTGAGTGGTGAGGAGAACCTAGGAGCGCTGCAGTCCATCATCAAGGGACTGAGGGGCCAAAATTTCCCATCCCATTGGCCCTTGGTGTAAGGCCAAAGAGAGYAGAGTCACTGACTCTGAGGTGTGGGTGTGCGGAGCAGGAGGTTCCTCAGCTAGAGAAGGGGTGTGGGACCTGGAAGGTGGCATCTAAGGAGAACAGTTCCCACCAGGAGCACCAAGAGTGGGGTTCAAGGACACGCCATACCTGCACTTGCCATCCTGGTCACAGCAGCCGTGGGCGAGATTACAGCGCTCACTGCAGTCATCACCTGCAAGGCAGGAGATGGGGGGATAACGTTAACAAGGGACAGTGCGTGACTCCAGATCTGCTCATGCCCCTGCTGGCTCACAGCATTCAGGTCCTGGTGACTATAAAACCTTTTTTTTTTTTTTTTTCCATTTTAAGCACTCAGTCTGCCCTTCCACCAGCACCTCTGCTGAGATCTCCTCTTCAACTGCTGCATACCACACACGAGATGAAGATTTTGCAGTCACGTGAGGAGTGACAACACTGTGCCTTGCTGGGAAACAGGACAGYGTTCAAAACTGTCTGGTCTCTGATGATCTCCCCCATCACCTACGTGCTGCATCCCTCAGCTGGTCAGAGCTGTGGACTGTGCCCTGTGTTACAGGGCCTGGGACATCTGTCCCACTGTCTCTCAGCTGAGATCCTTCCAGAGATGAGAGGTGTCAGGGTAAGGGCAAGGATGGGTTAGTGGCATCCTCCTCTCCCAGGACGTGCCCATTCCCAGCTATATGAACAAGGCTGAAATAAGTGCTCCTATTTTCTGCCATGACCAAGTAGTGAGCGCAGAGAGCGAGGCAGGAATGGGGTGTAACAACGGGCCAGGTATCTAGTTCTGTTTATTTATTTAAAAGCCACAGAAGGTGTAACTGAGCCGCGGCCTGGCCCCGCCACCTCTCCTGCCCTGCTTGCTCCAGCCAGGTATCTGCTTTCATCCCCACCAGCCCCTCTCCCCAGGCACCTGCTCCTGCCTCCGCCCTGCACGGAGCCGGCTCGATCCAGCTCACCTGGGGCTCCCTTGGGACCCCRGAACCCCCAGAAGCTGCAGGCGCCCCAGCCACCTTCCTGCTCCTCGTCACTCCGGCAAGAYGCCAAGGCAGGAGCGTTCCCTGTGCTGGGAAACCTTGCTGGGAAACGGGCAGACAACCTGGGCAGCAGTGTTGGAGCAAATMAGGAAATCAGGAGTTTTCATGGAGCCCAACATGATCCCAAGCCAGCCCCAGGAGATGAAAGTTCTTGCATGATTTGGCTCCTCCATCCCAGACTAGGGCAGGTTGGAGTCCCCACGCCACCATGAGCACCCAGGCTTTGCCCATTTGCTGCACGCTGTATGGGAAGCAAGGGAGGGACACCCCAATGGTGGCAATGGGCCTTAGCAGCACCAAGGCGATGGGCTCCAGCTGCTCAGCACAGGAGCCTCCTGAAACAGGTCACTGCAAATCAGGAGCAGCATCTTGGGAATGCTCAGCCCCAGCCTGGGGATCACTCTTTCCTATCTGTAATTATTTCTCTCCTTGCTGATGGCTTTGGGAATTCAACACTCATCTTTGGGAAGGGATTTTGCCTCACAAGATCCAGATTAGCTGATCAGTTTTGGGACCTTCTTACCCTTCTGTCCAGTCTCTCCAAACAGGCCCATCCATTCAGGGATGTTTGCTGCAGCTGACAGAGAGACAGCAACAGGACCTCTCTCATTGCTGGTCTGCTCAGGTGCTGTGAGCCCCTATTGGCACAAGAGCAGGGGGTCTCCAGTTGTCACCTGTCACCCCCCATGTGCCATATGACTGAGTAACTTTCCGGTCTTGAAGATCAGCCAGCTCTATTTTGCATGGTGATCTGAGGAGGCTTCAGCAATGCCAAGGGCAGGTTTGGAAAGGTGCACATAGGCCAGAGGGATGTGTTTCCATAGAGACACACCTTGTGCAAGCTGGTGATGGGCCAAGAGGATCCAAACCAAGGACATGAGCTGGAGACAGAAGCTCCTGAGCATGGTCAGCGTGGCCCCACCGAGATGAACACCTGCAGGGATAAAAACAGCAAGCTCAGAAAATGCCCTGGCCCATGCAGCAGCTTCTCTTCACGTGTCCACTTCCTCCACATAGCCTGGGAGTTTTGATCTGAAACATSCAGTTTTGTAGGGACTCGTCACTGCTCTCCTGTCTTTGTCTTTCCAGGCTCTTTCCTCCAACGCAACACTAGAGCATTAAGTACCAAAAAACTTTCTAAAACTGTACATGGGAGAATTACAGTGCTGAGTGTACAGGAGCCCTGGCTGTCACAGCACGGCCGGGAGCACCTGCCCCGCTCGCTTGCCCAGAGAGCACCAGCCTTTTGAGACACCAGCCCAGCTGTGGGGACCCCAATTTCCCTCCGTGGCTCAGGGGGACCTCGGCTTCACCTCAAGCAAAGCCCCACCTCCTCCTGCTCCCGCAGCGCGTGTCGAGGTGCACGGGCAGCCCGGCTGCTTCTCGAGCAGCGCTGCAGCCACAGCCGCCGACCTGCTGCCGACACCGACACGGGGCTGCAGCGGGCAGCCCTGCCCAGACGACAGCTAAAGAGGGAAGCTCCTTGGGTCTCGCTTAGACCCAAGGAAGCATTGGGCAGAGTAGATCCAGCAGAGTGGCAGGCAGTGAAAAGCAGCGTGCGAAGCAGCACTTCCAAAGGAAGGGAGTGAAACGGGCGGCACGGGACCCACAGCAGTGGGGCAGGCACACACCTCTCATCCTCCTCCCAGCCGCCCCACAGAGTGCCCCGTGAGCCCAGGCTGCCCGCACCTGGATATCTTCCAGCCGTCTCCTGCCCTCCCGAAGTAACATTAAACACTCTCTAGAAAGGCTCCACTCCCCGGCAGCCTCCTGGGGCTGTTAAGGGCAGGATACTCCGGGGCGATATCATGAGGATATTACAGTAATGAGATGGGAGGGGTTAAATAGCTGTGCGAGGAGAGCGGTGAGGGTAGGGAGCGGGCTCCATCCAGCTGCGTGGGTGTGATGGACAGGGGCCATTCCACTTTGGGCTTGACTCTCAAGCTACAGAAGGTTGTGTTGGGCCAACACCTACATGAAAGACTTCTAAGATTTTGGAAAGCCGCGCCTCCCCCCGCCCCGCACACACAGTTATTACTGGATGGGGCGTAGGGATCCCTGCTGAGGGCTTGACCTGCCYGGGCCAGCCCGAATCGCCCGCTGAATTTGAAGCCACGGCGTTGCTCGAAGCAGCTTTCCACCGAGCAACCCGCCACCTACAAAGGCCGTGGCGTGTTCGGGGGGCTCCGGGGCGCTGGTGTCACCGCCCTGGCCGGGTGCCAGTGCAGCCCATCGCGTCCTCCCTGCGCGCGCTGCCTTTGTAACCGCGCTGCTCCGATCGCCCTTCGCTTCCTGCCCCRGAGTGCTGGGCAGTGCCGAACAGCTGCTGCATTTCAGGGGCGGGAGAAGCGATTCCTACGAAACTTATAAAATAATTTAGGGCTTAGGGCTGAACAGTTGGCATCCTGCTGGGGCCGTTAGCGGCTCACCGTGTCATTGCAAAGGTCATTTCCCCTGAGGTTCCCTATAGCCCCCMTCCCGGCATCTCCACGGCTGCCCCACGGACTCCTATGGCTCCCACAGCGGGCAGCACTGGCGCTGGGGCACCCCAGGGGCGCCCGGAGCGAGGGAGGCGTCGCGGCCGCCTCGCAGCGGGGCAAACAGCGCCTGGATTCGGGGCTGCCGACGCGAGGGAGCTCCCGCCTTCCCCATCCCCTGCAGCCTGGCCGGGCTCGGGGCTACCCGGGACACTGGGGGCTACCGGGGATACGGCCAGGTCGCCCGCACGGGGCTACCAGGGACAGCACTCGGCTAGGGGCGCACCGAGGACCGCGGAGGGGCTCTCGGGGACCCTTCTGCTCGGCGGCTCTTCGGGACCCCCTGCTTGGGGCCACGGGGCCCGGCCCAGGCGGGGGCCACGCGGGGACCCCGCGGCCCGCGAGGCCGCT